TGTTCCAAACAAAACTCCCTCCCCCCCCCTTTGTTGTCTTTTACATATTTGCATTTTGCAATGGGTTTGTTTGTTTTCTTTTTTGTCCCCGCATTTTAGCCCTATAAATAACAAATAGCATTTTCATTTTTTTTTCTCCCATAAAAGCAAAGGTGCTTCAAGTGAACTGCCCCTTTCACTCGCTGCTTGGTCACAGCAGCCTTTTCCCTGCCCTGTCCAGCCCCTTCCTATGGGCAAGCACCCTTCACTCCTGACCCACAGGGGGAGCAGGGTTCAGGGACAGCACAGAGCCAGAGGGGTGCAGGGAACACTGGGGGTGGAGGTACGGGGGTGGCACGGGGAACGGGAGGCACAGAGCCACAGGGATGCCGGGATCAGGGGTAGCAGAGTGTGGTGGAGGCACGGGGAATGGGACATGGGGAACGGGAGGGGCAGAGGGATCGGGGTCTAGGGGCAGTGCAGGGAATGGGCAGCACAGAGCTGAGGGGGAACAGGGTGTGGGGGTGTGGTGGAGGCACGGATAATGGGACCCAGGGAACGGGAGGGGCAGAGGGATCAGGGTCTAGGGGCAGTGCAGGGAACGGGCAGCACAGAGCTGGGGGGGCAGAGATCGGGGGAGCAGGGTGCGGAGTACAAGGGTGGCACAGAGCCAAAGAGTCACAGGAAAGAGGGAGAGCGGGGGTCCGGAGTGCAGGGCAGCATGGGGAACAGGCGGCGCGGAGACAAAGGGGGGCTGGGGCCGTGGCAGGACTGGAGCCGGCGGGGCAGACCCTGGCTGTGCCACGCACCGCAGCCAGCTCCCAGGGACACGCGGCCAGAGCCGAGTTGCCACAGCCCTTTAAAATCAGCTGGGCCAGGTCACGCCAGCGTCCTGGTATCCCACCCCGCCTCCTCGCGCTGGAGCTGCACGCAGGCAGCTCGGTGGGAAGAAGGCAGGACTGGAGCCGGCGGGGCAGACCCTGGCTGTGCCACGCACCGCAGCCAGCTCCCAGGGACACGCGGCCAGAGCCGAGTTGCCACAGCCCTTTAAAATCAGCTGGGCCAGGTCACGCCAGCGTCCTGGTATCCCACCCCGCCTCCTCGCGCTGGAGCTGCACGCAGGCAGCCCGGTGGGAAGAATTGCCGCACTTCCCCTTTCCCAGCGGCGCTGTGCTCCTCCACCGGCCGGCAGATCAGATGGGGCCGCACCACCTGTAGGGCAGGCTTAGGCCAGCCCATCACAATGGCCCACCGGGCCAGTCCGCCCCTGAACTCGCCAGCTGGAAAAATCTACTCGCCACGGGTGCACAGGCGAGTGCATTTGTTGAGCCCTGTTAATAAATATGCAATATTACCTGATTTCCACCCATATGACAGCATATGACATATGACCCATATGACAGCACTTTTAATGAGCAATGACAGTCCAGGAATTTAACTACTAAAACACATATCAACAGAAGACCATTATATTGGCTCACCATCATGGAGCATGTTCCCAGAGGAGGCCATGTTCAAAGGATCCTACCCGTGCGCCATATGTCGAGCCCCATGTAAACCCAAACCACACCGCGGGCTGCAAACAAATGAGCTGTGGGCCGCATACAGCCCATGGGCCATGTCTTGAGTAGCCCTGACATAAGTAAACTCACAAATATATGTCCTATTGCTGACTTTTTTACAGGAGGGGTGGGTAGTCCAACTCCTCCCATTGCCAGTAATTTTTTTTCAGTTACAAAATTTGTCAAACTTTAATCATTTCAACTGAAATTTAACATATCAGTTGCCTGCCTCAGGCTGGTTTTTTGTTGTTGTTTTTTTTTTAACATTAATAAGAATTTCAATCATTTCCGAGGTAGAGTCTAGGGAAAAAAATGCACTTTTCCCCATGTTAAAAGAATGCATCCACCAATTTTACATCCACACTTAGATTCCTAGTGTCTGTACTCTGTGGTAAAACTCATAGTGTTTCAGGAGAGAACCTTCTGATTAGGTGAAATCTATTGATACAACATACCACCAGTATGGCACGTCTGCCCTATTTTCTGACAGTCTTTCCTGAATTTGGCTTTCTAAATTGTGACCCATTCCAGGTACAGTGATAAATATAAGTGCTATAAAAATTATTTTGTTTTAGCTGGAATCAAACCAAGATCTACAAGTGAATTAGTAGTCACACCTACAATGTAGGCATCCTTAGCTTCTGTTTGCCAGAATTCAGAATGGGCTGACAGGAGATAGATCACTTGATATGCAAATTCTGCAGGAATTAGCATATCTTCTTCAGATCTCACTTTCAAAAGCAGAGCTTCGAAAGTGAAAGTAATCAAGATACGGTTTTTTTGGCAAACCACCCCTTTTTTGGAAAGCCGCTTTTCCTCAAAAAATGAGATTTACATGGCTTTTTGAAAAAGGGGGTTTTGAAAAAAAAAAAAGCAAACATCTTGATTACTTTCACTTTCGAAAGCAGAGCTTTCTCATGGAATTTGCAAATCCTCTTTTGAATCTTCCTCGTAGTCTAGATGAGCCCTTGATGAGTGCCTATTCTTTAATTCCCTTTGGGGCACCTGACATTGGCCACTGTTAGAAGACGAGATCCAGTATGACTGTTCTTATGCACAGTGAGGTTCCAAGTGTTCACGTGGAATAACACAGAAAAAAATAATTTGTTATACAAGTGCCATCACAGACCATGGTATCAGACATAGGGATTTAGAATAATGTTGGGCAGCATAGGATACTTGGATTAGGAGAAAGAATTCATTTAGTAAAGTAAATCAATTATTTAAAAAAGTCTATCAAAGCAGAAAAACTGAAACACACTGGGGCTCAGTTTGACCTTTCACTGGTATTCTCACCTTTTTCAATATTATTCTCAGGGCTCGACAAACCGCTGATTTTACTTGCCCATGGTAGGAGAGATAGCTCAGTGGTTTGAGTAGTAGCCTGCTAAACCCAGGGTTGTGAGTTTAATCCTTGAGGAGGCCATTTGGGGCAAAAATTTGTCAGAGATGGTACTTGGTCCTGCTGTGAAGACAGGGGACTGGACTCGATGACCTTTCAAGGTCCTTTCTAGTTCTAGGAGATAGTGGTGAGAAGATTTCAGCAGGTCACTCCTTGTGCCCCATTCACCGGCGCTGAGCGCATGCGCAGTGTGGGACTGGCTAGTAGCTCTCGCCGCGGTTTGTCAAGCCCTGATTATTCTTATGTTACAACTTCATCACATCTCTATCTTGATGATTTGCTTTTCGAGCATTGTTTTCAAACCAAGGTAGTTATCGTATGAATAATGTAATTACTGGAGAAACACAGACACAGAGAGATATACATATAGATATACATGCACAGTTAGTCAGGGAATAACAAGAAATTAATTCTCTAACTAGATAAAATTACTTGACAACAATTCTTACCTCTGTTACTTTGGGTTGAAGTCTTAAAATTTCATGATTCATACGAGGAATATCTATGTGAATCTAATTAGACAAAAAACATTTCAGGTACAAAATCAGTAAGTACGTATAATTTATTTTTAACATTCTTCAACTTTCATGTTTCTTAACTATTTTTGTTAGACTACATATAGCCAGAAATGTATCCTGAGTCCCTATTCTGCCATCATTTGAAGTGGTGGCCCTTAAAATCTTTCTAAGGCCTGGACCACATACACAGTTAGCTGACACAAGCCAGTTTATATTGACCTAGTTGTGCACATGTCCAACTGGTCTCCCATTGCTGTATATACCCCATTATTCCAACATAGCAACATTACTTTCCTGAGCACTGTTGAGCCACAGCCAATATACTTAGTTTGATGCAGTGTGAATGTGAATGCTGCATTACTTATGTCAACTCTATCCTCCAGCAGTTGGCCCGCAATGCCCCGCATCAACCACTTCAATTACCACTGTGAACCCCACTGCCTACAGGTCATCTTGAAGTCCCCACTTCCCTTTAAAGTCCCATTAATTTTTTTAATGTTTTCCTGATTACCTGACTTGGCAAGCACAACTAACAGCTCTTCAGCTAACCATGTTTGCTACAGATTCCAGACATGCTCCTGCCCTTCAGACAGGAGATACTGTATCTCCTGGGTCTGTGGGAAGAAGAAGCTTACAGACACATATCCAGTCCAGAACATGGCAGAAATGTTAGCATATACAAGCAGATTGCTGCGGTTATTCAGTAGAAGAGCTACAGCAAGAAGCGTCAGTGGTGTCACATGAAAGCCAAGGAGCTACAGCAGGCATACAAGAAAGCCAATAAATCCAATGCTGCATTCCAGACATGCTACTCTTACAAAACGCTGCATGCTATTCTCGGCTAAGACCCCACAACCTGCAACAGTACCATGACTATCTGCAAGGAGCCTGAGTCACAAGTACCTGCTGTCAACAGTGAGGAGACAAAGGTCATGGTACATACTGCACTGGGTTTTTGGATTATTTAAATTATTTTGTTAGGGAATAAAATTCTAGTTGGAATACAATTAATCTTTATTAGTTCACAATACATGCTTGCAAGTGCTCAGCAGTTCTGAAAGTGTCCAGTTGCTCGTTCTTGCACAACATGACAGCTCATGGGATCATTTAGAGATAAAATTATTAGATGTGTGGTATGGTCAGTCCCACTCCTGGGTACCTGACCCCTGTTCTGCCCACTATCCCACAGTTTTAGGGCTGCAGCATGAGACTCACTCGCACAGTTTTAGCGCTTGACCTTCTGTCCCTCAGCATAAATAATGGAGTGTTAGGCTGAAGTCCTGGGGCAGTCAGGGATGAGTAGTAAGTCCTCCTCTGGGCCCTGGGGGGATAGGGAGCCTTCCAACACTCCCTGCTTGAGCACCTCACCTCCCCCTGGAACCTTTAGCAGGGCTGGTGATTCTTCCTGCTCTGCTCCTCTGAATCTCCTTATCACCTGGTTGTTTGTTCCTCTCTACCTCCACATTCCTCCTCAACTCTCTCTCCCTGTCCTCCCCCTAGGGGATGATCATGATCATGCTCATGATCCCAAACCTGCATTATGATGCAATCC